TTCTCTAGTTATGGGTGATGAGGAACGTCTTTTCACGTGCTTATTGGGCCATGGGCACATCTCCTTTGGCGTAATGTCTGTTCAGCTTTCTTGCCTGTGTCTTAATTGCTTGTTTGGTTTTCTTGTTGTTTCACTTTCAGGAGGTCTTCATATAGTCTGATGGGCAATTCCTTCTCAGATATATGATTTGTGAATTTTTTTCTATCCTATGTTATCCTATGTTATCATTTTCTCTGTTGACTGTGTCTGTTGATATACAGATTTTAAAATTCTCATTAAACCAAGTTTGGGTTTTTTAATGTCTTATCCCTTGGCATATCTAATTTTTTAAGAAATCAGTTCAGTATGTGACTGGGGAACTTTTAACTCAAATTTTCCAAAATTTTTAAGTTATTTCTTTTTCTTTTTTTTTAAGATTTATTTTATTTTTATTGGAAAGGCAGATATACAGAGAGGAGAGACAGAGAGGAAGATCTTCTGTCCAATGATTCACTCCCTAAGTGAGCGCAACAGCCGATACTATGCCGATCCGAAGCCAGGAACCTCTTCCAGGCCTCCTGTGCGGGTACAGGGTCCCAAAGCTTTGGGCCGTCCTCGACTGCTTTCCAGGGCCATAGGCAGGGAGCTGGATGGGAAGCAGGGCTTTGGGGATTAGAACCGGCGCCCATATGGGATCCCGGGGCATTCAAGGCGAGGACCTTAACCACTTGCGCCATTGTGCCGGGCCCTATTTATTTATTTTCTTTTTTTTTTTTTTTGCAAAGATTTATTTATTTTTTATTGGAAAGACAGATTTACAGAGAGAAGGAGATATAGATATAGATATAGAGAAGCTATAGATAAGAGATTCCATCCTCTAGTATGCTGCCTATGTGGTCGCAATGGCTGAAGCTAAGCTGATCTGCACTTGATCTTAGCCAAAAGGCCGAGAAGCGATTGAAGCTAAGCCGATCTGAAGCCAGCAGCCAGGAGCTTCTTCCGGGTCTCCCACATGGGTGCAGGGTCCCAAGGCTTTGGACCATCCTCTACTACTTTTCTAGGCCACAGGCAGGGAACTGGATGGGAAGTGGAGCAGCTGGGGCCTAAAATAGCGCCCATATGGGATGTCAACAATGCAAGGTCACTGGGCCATCATCCCTAATTATTTTAGGAGACATTCATTCTTCAGTGGTTATGTGCCAGGCATTGCTAGCCACTGGGAATTATTACCATGAGCAAAAATAGAATAATTTCATTCTTGTAACTTTTAAGTCTTGAACTCTTGTTAAGTCTGTTGTAGGTTGGAAATTTTCTTCATAAGGTTTTATTTTAAAGAAAAATTAAAATGTATTAGCTGTGTTTGAAAGGCATAGAGACCAAGGCATCTTTCATTCATTGTTGAGTCCAAATGCTTGCAACAGCTAGAGCCAGGCCAAGTGGAAGCCAGTTGAGCCTTCACGTGCTGCCTCCCAGGTTGCATGTTGGCAAAAAGCTGGACCTGGGAGTGGAGTAGCGATTGAACTCAGGCTCAGAATTTTAAATGAAGAGAATTTCTAAGTCAAAATTTTTGCACCTTTTAGTTTAAGATCAGGAGCCTAAGAATTAGGCATCTGAATTAGAATCACAAAGTAAATCTAATTAGTATTTCTAATCTGTCTGATATGTAAACATCAAATACACAGATTATCCTTAAGCCTGATTAAACAATATGAATACTAAGAAAATCAATTTACTGTGTTATTTCTTTAATTGTAAAATTTTCCAACGTTGAATCCTGGCGTTACGACATTGAGCTCAGTGGATGCAGTTCGTGACTCTGCTATATGATTGTCTTGGTTAGGATATGTAATTTGAACTCAGGACCAGCAGTCTGGGGATTTCATTTGACCAAGGTGTGTGTTTCCATGACACAGACAGGTACCCTGTCTCTGACTTCAACAGTGACCATAACATCAGGGAGGCCACATCCCTTCTCTTTAGTCGGGATGGGTTGCACAGTATGCTGTTGGCTGGATTTAAGCTTTGCTTGAAGACAGATGCCCCCCTCTAACCAAGCCCTTTCTCCATGGAAATTCGAATACAGTTACTTGGCTGTGTCTTGGCTTTAAACTCTTCAGTGGCTCACATTGCGCTTGGAATTGAATGCAATCCCTCCACCATAGCCTGAAAGTCCTTGTACGACCTGGCTTCCTGCTCCCCGCTCTGGCCTCACCACACAGTTCTCTGATATTCTTCCATTTTCAGCCACACTGGCTTGCCTTCTCTGATTTCCTTCTAGCAGAAGCCAAGCTGCTTTCTTTCCCTAAGGCCTTTTAATGGGTGGTCTCCAGCGTCTGAAACCCCACTTTCCCAACCTTTGCTGGGGTGGCTTCCCATGCTGTAGGCCTCAGCCCAGCTGTCATTGTCTGTAGAGATTTCTTCATGGAACGTGGCATAATTGGTGCATTCATTGGCTTATTGTATCTCTCCTCCCCTAGCCAGTATGTGCTGTGCTGTGTGCTCAGCATATACCAGACAGGCGATCATGACTTGCTCAATGAATTAATATCAGCGTTGCCACAACAATCCCCATTACCCTTAGGTCATAACTATTACGATCATTCATAGAACCACTTTTGGCTCATGGGAGGTATTGAGTCACTATGGAATTGAGATCTCTACATGTCACTATCTCTTGCGGTCATTAATGCAATTATGTTTACTACCTTTGTGGTCCTTCATACATGTTGCCTTCTGAAGCTGTAGTCATTGTAAGCAGTTCTCTGGCAGCACAGAATGACCTTTTACTGGATGTGCCTTTTGGGGAACTATTTTTTTCCCCTAATTAAAAAAAAGGCCACTGAACATGAGCTGATGGCTTGACAGTTACGCATATGTCTTGATTAGTGTCAGCACAGCTTCAGATGACGCTTAGTGATTATCTACCTTGGTGTCCTAGGAGACACGGAGTACCACAACTTGCAGGTTGCAGAGAGCAACCTTGAGATACTGACGGGAGTCTCATTCTAGGTTCTGCATAGCTTAGCTCCGAACCCCCTACCCCGCCCTCCCCTCCACTCCCAGCCTGGTCTTCCAGAATGCCCGAATGATTCCAGCCTTATAAGAGCACCGGATTGTGTTAGCTTCCGGAATCTTAACCATTGCGAGTCCAGGGCCTTTCAGAAACAGCAGCCCCCCTATCAGAGCGTGTTTTCGTATTTAAAATCCCTGTCTGCAGCTTGACACCTGGGACTGTGGCACCACGGATTAAACGTGATTTTGAACACGGGGTTGTCACAGATGAAAAAATAAAAATGTTCCTTGAGGTGCAATCAAATGCAACGTAAGGAAAGGAAAACCAGCCTCATTGTGATGGCTGTGGCTGGCACCAAAGAAGCATTTCTGGAATCGGGCAGGGGCGGCGCAGCATCTGGTTAGGCAGCTTGGTGGCTGCAGGTCTTTTAAGTCGGCGCGACCGCCGGGACCCCGCGGCCTCAGCGGTCCCTGGCTCCAGAGCCCACCACCGCGGCCCTGGCAGCGCAGCGACCCCCGCGCTTCCTCGCGCTCTCTCGCGCGCGCCCAGCGCACAGTGGTGTCCTTTAGCGATTGGCTGCTGGACCAGGAACAGCTGTGCGGAGCGTGGGTGGGGTTGGAGGGGAAGGAGCTGGGGACCTGGATGCAGTGTAGTCGGCTGGTAGCGATGCACACTGGGGATCCGAGTGGGAGAAAAGAGGAGGCGCAGGCCGCTGGCAAGGCGTCCTCCGACGGACGGCGCGGCGGTGGTCTCCGACAGCTGGTGCTGGCGCCCCCCTCCCCTCCGGCTCCAGCTTCCGTCGGGGTTTGACGCAGGTGGGCCGGGCTGGGCACGCCGAGCTCCGGGTTCCCACGAACGCCTGCTCTGTCCTCTCTCTTCTCCCTCAGCGAAGGGGAGGGACCATCCTGAAAATATGTAAATACCCAAGCGCCGACTTCAGCCCGGAGCCACAGCCCAGCGCCAGCGCCGCCGTCGCCGCCGGGGTTTGCCCTGAGACTGAGGAGCCTGACAGGACCTGAGCTCTAACTCCCCGGCAGCCTGCTGATTAGCATGAGACTGGGCGGCTTTCCCCGCTTCCTGCCCTTCCCTAGCCGTCCCGCGCGCCCCCGGCCGAGCGGCCGGACCGCCGTGCGGGTGTCGGGCGGCGGGCGCGGCGTCTTCTGGGGCATCAGCCATGGCTCCAGTCGCCGCCCGGGCCAGTAAGTAAGGAGCATGCCTGTGTAGAGGGGGCACACGCGTGTCGGCGCGCACCGCCGGCCCCCCAACGCACGCGCCCTGAGTCCCGGAGGTGGGAAGACGGACCAGGAGGCGCTGTGGCCGCGCCGACCGCTCGGGCCGTCTCCGCTCTGGACTCCCCGGCCGCCCGCCTCAGCAGCCGCCGCCGCCCGAGGATTGGGGCCGGTTCGCCGCGCACACACCGCCATCCCCTCCCAAGCCGCCGAGCCTCTGGAATGAAGACTGCCTCCCGCAGACTGCGAGCGAGGCCGAGCCCGCCTGCGCCGCCGACTGCGGGCCGCGCGGCCGGCAGGCCCGGGGGAAGCCGACCTGGACGCTGTCATCCGTTCGCTTCGCGCTGAGCCGGGCCACGCGCGAGGGAGCCGCTGTCGCCGCCACCGCCTGCGCTGCCGCCGCCCCTCCGGCTTCCGCGGGCGCCCGGTCGCGAGTCCGCTGCCGAGGGCCTGGGCGTCCTCGTTTGTTTGGGTCTTTTGTGCCGGGCTCACAGTTGGCTAAGCACTCCTGCGCTGAATCGAGCCATTGTCTGCGCTCCCATTGCTTCCACGCTGCAAGTTTCGGCGCCCCCCGCCCCCTGCCCGCCTCCTCCCCGCCGGGGAGAGCCTCCTCCTAACGTGCCTCCCCCCTCTTCCCACCCCTCCACCCTTCCACCCCATCCACCTCCCAGGAATCTGGAAGCTATAAGCCGGGCGGATTGCAAATGAAGTGTAATGCATTGTGGGACGTGTGTAAAATCGGAGCCTTCGCCGTGGGGCTGTGGGGGGGCGTGGGGAGGGCCGGACCCGCCGCGGGCGGTGTAGACGCCTACGAGGAGGGGCTGGGAAAATGTGCGCAGAGTCCGCCCGGGTCGTGCCCGCCGTAGACGGGTGAAGCAGCGCGCTGCGCCCCGGCGCTGAGCCCCTTGCCCGCCCCCCTCACTCCCTGCCGCCTCAACCCCGAGGAGCGGGGCCGGCGGCAGGTCGGCACCCCCCTGCACCATGAAGAAGACCCGGAGCACAACCTTGCGGCGAGCCTGGCCTAGCTCGGATTTTTCGGACCGGGCCTCGGACCGCATGAGGTCCCGCAGCGAGAAGGACTACCGCCTGCACAAGCGCTTCCCCGCGGCCTTCGCGCCCCAGGCTGCGCGGGGCTACCTGACATCAGGTAGGTAACCGCGGCCCTGCACCCCTCTTTCCCCCCTCCCAGCCGCTGCGTCCTCGGAGGGCCAGCTCGGCGTGGTGACGGATGCGAGAAGTTATGGGTAAAGCGGGGGAAAATTAGCTCCCATCCACCATTTTGTACCTCCGCACGATCCGCAGCAGGCCCTCGCAATATGGGGGGTGGAGAACGGTTAGTGAGGTGAAATCAGGGTAGGGGGCGAGCCGGGCGTTGAGGCTGCAGGGAGATCAATGACTGCGAGCACGCCGCGCCGCAGCCTCCCTCCGGAGCCCGCTGGCGGAGCCTGCTCCCCGCGGCTGTCCGCAATGCCAGGCCCCCCGGCTCAGTGCCCGCACGGTGGCCTGGAGGTCCCCCCGTGGGCATTTAAATAAACCCCTGCTGTGTGCAGAGGGAGCAGGTTCCCTGCAAGGGGGCGGTTGGTGTCAGGCTGGGCTGAGCTGCCCGCGAGGGAGCCTGCGCTGGCGCTCCCTGAATGCGTTCTGTGGGCTGCTGGTGTGTATGTGTGAAGGCTTGCAGGATTGCGTGTGGATTTCACCGGGATTGCTTTGAATGAGGCTGCACGGAAAGGATGGAGGCGGTGTCGTGTATTTGCATGTCAGGCAGGGAAGGACACAAGGAATGGTGAATAGAATGAGCTCTTCAGAGGTAGTGCTGGGAAAAAGGCTCTCTTGGAAAATGGCTTTGGTTTGTGCTTTGGGAATCCCGGGATGCAGGACTAGAGGAAATGTTGAAAGCGGAGAATCCAGGATATTTCCCTGTGCTTTTTGCTTACTTGTTGTGAATCGGTTGCTCCTGGCGATATGTAAGATCGTGCATTTTTTATGTGTTCTTGTTTTTCCATTCTGAAGATTTGATGTTTTTCTGAAAACATTGTAACGGAAGGCCCGAGATTGTAAACCGTGTCTCAGCCGGAAAGCTTGTTCTAAGCCTGTGGTTGGTACCCATAGTCTAACTTGACTGTCTTTCTCCTAAAACAGCAAATCACTTAAAACCAGGGTCAGTCTCTCATGCCTCAGAAATGTTTTGTGACCACATTTCCTTGTATGTAAGACATCAATAAAATAACCATTATTTTTCTTTGCAAAGTCAGGTGGTGTAAGGTTGTTGTACTATTCTGGCAAGAAAGATCCCTTGAGATCCCCCCCCACCAGCCCCGCCACCCCCCTCCCTTCATGAAAAGCGAAATTTGTAAAGGAAGTGACAACTGCAGTAATTTAAGTCGCTGTGATGGTTGCCTGTATTCTTCAGACTTGGAGTAGTAAATTTTGGAATACACCTAAATCCAGATGTAACCTCAAAACACGCATGTGCATAAACCGTTGTCTGCTATGGAGTGTTCAGATAATCCTGGACTTTATATCGTTATGGTTTGAATGTCTTTCTATCACACTCAACAGATCCCCTCTCGTTTAGCCTCACTTAAGGAGCCAGTGTTAACACTGAGGGGGAAGGTTATGAGGGCAGGTGGCTGTAATTTCAGCAGACCTGCAAGATTCTTTAATAACCCCAGGCACATTCCCAGGAGCCTTGGCATGACTTCATTATTCACTCATTTTCATTCTTTGTGGGAGAACTTCTCTACTGTTGTCAGGCCTGCAAGACCTTCCTGAGGGCTTAAGGAAGATGCGTTGACTTTTATTTGGTGCTCTTAGCTGGCGTCTTTACCTGCACACACTCAGCTGACCTTAGGATGTGAAAGAATAACCTGTCTTTGGGTTGGTGGCGACTGTCCAGCTTCAATGTTGAGTTCCTGAGGGACAAAGGGATGGAGAGCTGCGTCTGTCATTCAGTATTTTGGAGAGTGCTTGCCACCTTGTGGGGTTCCTGTGGGGTTAAAGGGTTCAGCATATATGTTTGTCCAGGAAGGGGGAGCTGTGATTTTTTTCTTTGAGATGTTAGCTAATACATAGACCAGAAAGGTGAAGGTGCTAATGGAAAGAAATAGTAAATATTAAGACTAAGATATCTAAAATGAACTTGGAGTAGGAGGCATCTTATACACAACTTTTCCTTGGGACGGGGTAAGTTGTTAGGGAGGGAGAATATTATCTATTTTCTGTCCGAAATATGTCTCCTTTCAAAATATGAATGTTGATCGAAATAGTTGGTCTATTGAGACATTTTGAGACCATTTGTAAGTTTTCTTCCCCTTGGGAAATGTACAGGAAATCCTCTTGTATCACACTGGTCACTCTGGATATAAATGGATTCTTCATCACGTAAAATGAAATAGAAAATGCAGCAGCTTGGAGGCACAAGGCTTTTTTACACTTCCCCTTGGCATTTGCCTAGCCTTTGGTTTAATAACTGCTCATATTATTGTACTTCATTGTTAGGAAGAAGGGCTTTTTGTTGTGGGTGAATTCCTTGGGTCCAAGGGACAGGATAACTTTTCTTCAGTGATGTGCTATGTAAAGTAACTTCAGTTAGGAAACTCTTCTTTTGAGCTTTCCTCAAAACATATTCTTGAAAAGTGTAGGAATAATAATAAAAAAAAACTTTAGGATTTGAGAAGGCCTTGGGAATTTTAGGCAGCCGGATGAATGAATAGCTACCCGTCTGGACTAGTGTGTCTCTCACACAGAAGGTGCAGCAGGCAGGCTGGTAGGCTTCTGTAATAGCTTTCTAATGAGACAGCCCCATTTCAAACAGTCTTTCTCCTACTAATGAGTAATTACCAGTGTGAAATGTGATTTATAGCAACAGACTTGACATTTAGCCTTAGCTTCTCTTATACCTTCAGGATAAACTACACTTAAGCTCAAGAGGTTAGAACAGGCACATATAGAAAGCTAACAAGGTCTTGCAAGAGGACAGTGAAGATGGAGAATTCTGAAACTTTTGAATCTTGAAGGCCATGCTTTGTAAGGTTGTTTAAGCTCCCAGTGCATGCTACCAAATCTAAAATATTCCCAAGAATTCACAAGCCTCCTAGCAACCAGTCAGGCCGTGAGATGAGTCCATTGTTATCCTGCATATTAATTTCCCAGTGGTAGTTTCGGGGCAGAAAGGGGGAAAATCTTGCCTTTTGTTCAAATCAGGATGAATGATAAAATATGTGTGGCATTATCTGAAGAAGAAAATGAATGTGGAATAATTCTGTGTTTTCCTTCTTTCTTTTAAAAATTGATTTATTTTTATTGGAAAGTCAGATTTACAGAAAGATTTTATGGCCTCAACAGCCCAATCTGAGCTGATCAGAAGCCACGAGCCAGGAACTTCTTTCAGGTCTCCCATGCAGGTGCAGGGTCCAAAGGCTTTGGCCTATCTTCAACTGCTTTTCAGGTCATAAGCAAGGAGCTGGATGGGAAGTGGGGCAACTGGGATACCAGCCAGCACCCACATGGGATCCCGACCATGTCAGGCTCAGCTGTGTTTTCTAAAACTAGAAATGATGATATTATTAACACTGGATAAGAGTAAAACTCCCACATTCTCCCAAAGAGAGAGAGAGGAAGAGAGACAGACAGACAGACAACGTGCTAGCTCCCATTCTCTGGCTTATTCTCCCAGTGTCCACAACAGTTAGCACTGGGCCAGGAGGAAGTCAGTAGCCAGGAACTCCATCAGGGTTTCCCAGGGTGCAGAGCAGCAAGAAGCTAGAATCAGGGCTCAAACTGGGCTATGCTTGTTGGGCTGTGAGCATCTTAATTGCTACACCAGATGCCCACCCCTACTATGAATGTTTAATTTTCCTCTTTCTCCTTCTCCCATTCCTTGTGGAAGATGCTTCTTTATATTCCCTGTGCACAGGTTCTATGGAGTAGGTTCTTCGAAGGCCGTGTTTCTGAGGAGCGAAATCATGGCATATGCAAGTTTGATACTTGTAATTTTAAATAACATCTTTAAGGATGCAAGCAGACATTTTTAATATTGCGACTTTACAGGAATTACAAAGAAGGCTAAAAGCCCTGAACTGAAATCTTAGGGAAAATTTAAATCAGTTTTGTCTGCTGAGTTAATGAATATAATCAGTGGGGAGGAGTAGCCAGCATCCCACCTTGATTAGTCTGTTGGCTTCATTTGATAGAAATTTGTTGTGGGGCGTATTTGACAGTATGTTCTAGTCCCTTCTGTTCTGTTGTTTTCAGTGATGTGTTTTCTGGGAGTGGAGGGTGGACACTCAGGGTTCTAATCTGGGCTCGCCACAGACCAGCTGTGTCCCTGGCGGGTAACATGACCTCCCTCCGTCTGTAATGAGCCCTCTGATTCCAGCAGTGGGGCTCCTCTGTGCCTCTGTAATGAGCGAGAGCAGGACTTCTGAACACTTACACAAAAATCGTTAGGGAAAACCCTTTGCCCTTTTCTACTTATTGGAGTTATATACTGCTGTAGGTGGGAGCAGGGCTCATTTTGCAGTAGATTCCCATTCCCTGTCATCCTCAAACGTGGGTTTCAGGGTGTATCTCTTAGGGCTTGCCCTGGCGACCGGTGTGGTGCTGGCAGGCAGGCTGATAGCCTCGGGCATGGAAAGTTCCAGTCATATGCAAGTTTTAAGAAAGCTCATCCTGGCTCCGCACTCTCTTTGTACACATCCATTTGGATCCCTGCTGCTCCAACTGTGTTTTAATTTGAAACTACTGATGTCAACTCCTTTCATCAGGCAAGTGGAAGTGAGGAATATTACACTTGGTGGTGAATGACTTTATTCTTTATTTCCCAGGGGGGTGTAGGGTCTTGAATGTCTTGAATAAAGTAGGAAATGAGGGGAAAGGGTGGGAGTGTGAGGGGTATAGAGGGGTAGGGGGGGGTGGGGGTTTTTTTTTTGGGTTGGTGTTTTTGTGGGGTTTTAAGGGATATGGGGGGGTTGAAAGAGGGGGGGTTTATGAGTGTAGAAAAGTTGGAAAGGTAAGAAATTGGGATTTGTATAGATTATGGTGTTGGAGGTGTGGGGTATATTGTAGGTTGGATTGTATTGAATTGTTGGGGAAAAATTAAACCTTGCTACTGGGATTATACAACTAACATTTTGACCATACCTTCAC